TTACCATTTTATTAAATTAAGATAGAAGTGCGCAAAAGGCAAAAATTCAGGATTAAACTAAAGTGAAAGTGTGCCAAAAGTCGCCAACAGCACAGTGTGAGGAAATATTCGCAACGCCTATAGGCGTCAAGGCCACGGCGCGAGAAAATATTTGAAATGCCTATAGGCGCCAACAGCAGTGAAAATGTTAATACTGTATACCTTAAACGAAAGATTGCAAACAGAAATTGTAAATATCAAGTTACAAATGATAAACCGCCTTGAATGCGGCTACATCAATCGGTATCGCCGCTTGATCCTTTAATTTACGACCTCGCTAAATCGCTTCTACCAACTATACCTGGTCGCAACTGTATCAACTTTACCGTGGGTTTCACATAGGATATCACTTCGCTATGGATTTATACTTAAGTAATGAAACACTTCATCTAGGTACATAATTAAATTAAATCAAATTTCATTTCCGGCAATTTGTAACGAGCCCCTCGATGTTAACTTTAATGCAGTCGATGTGAGATTCAATATGGTCAGCGTTGCTCTGTTAATGGTTCCTTGAAATCATTAAGAACGAACTGTTGAAGCAGTAACGAAATAAAATCTGTATATACTGTTTTATTTTCGTGTAATTATTTGGATCTTTGAATTGTTCTTACGAGAGAGCTATATCACTCCTTTTTGCACCATGCTTTGGGTCAAATTTCGTTTGATAATATGGGTAAAAGGTAAAGATGGTTACTTCCTTATCAATGACTTGGATCGAATGAAATTAGCCTGACTTGAAAAGATAAAAAGTGAGCTACTGTATTACGGTACAAGAATTCGAATAGCATAAATATACGCACGTTGCAAGAGTTTATGGATAAAACAAACAAAATTCTGCTTTAATGTTATCATTTTTAGTATTAATGCTATCTTCTGTACTTATAATTGCAGACAAAACTGCCGTCCTCAACATTATCATAGACAACCGTATGGGATATTAATTTTAATCTCAAAGGATACTAAAATCTACGGATATTAATAAAAAAATAAAAAAAAAAAAAGAAACAGAAAAGAAAAAAAAGAGCAATCACAATCTATAAAGGAATTCAGAGTTACACGTTATGCTTATATACATATACGCTGTGTGCATGTTACTAGTTTAAAGAAATGATTAATATCTCGATGATTAAGCTTATTTTTGAAATTGTACTTGTTTTTAAAAATACAAGATGTTATATGTACAGTAACAGAGTTTACGATAGTGTTGTGTCGATAACATTTTAAGAGGAATGCTATGAAATATCATAGAAAAATTGCGTTTACGCATAATGCTTGCAGAAGTTTGATCGCATAATCCTCTAAAGTTATATATACATACATACATACATATGTATATATCGTCGATTTACTAAAAGAATGGTACGTTTGAAATATCGTTAATTTAAAGATATCTGCCAAAAATAATTCTAAAAGTGAGCTATTTTTATCTGAAAGAGCGTGACTAAAATTAAAATTAAAATTATACTAATTTAACGAGAACAATGTTACAATTCAAAATAGAACTGTTTTAATCCCCTTTTTTAATAGTAAAGACTATCAGCTAAATTGTGAAATAAAAATAGTTTTCATTGCTAAATAATTGAGTAATTGATACTTTTCGACCAGAAAAATTCTGAAACCGACTTCTTGGAAAATTGACTTCTCTTACAACAGTTGTGTCACTCTTCTAACAAACTGACGGTGTATATGTATATATGTAGGTACACACATATACGAGATTGTAAATATCCGCAATGTATTTCACGCATTCTATGTATTTACTTAATAAAAAGTAATGTGAGCATAATTCTTGGTTGTTCTAGATGCTGTCACTACCCACGAATCCCTTGCGCAAAAAGCGGCTTGTTCCCTAGAATCTGTAGATGCTAGTTATCCCAATAAAGTAGTCGAGCAAGAGCAGGATTTGTCACCAAGCGTTGAGAGGCAAACCTATTCGGAGAAGAGGAAATTCTGGGAGGATATCTCGAAGAAGCGGGAAAGTTATCAGCGTTCGGAATCGGAGATATCGAGAACGTCACAGTTAACGATCAATGAAAGCGACAGCGGAGAGTATGTGCAGAACATCGTCACAGAGGACACGGCGGAAATTGTTCAGGAAGTTGAGAAGTCGGAAACGATGGAAGATTTGAATGTGCCTGATATCTCGGAGTGTTCGGTAGCGGAGAAAGCTCAATACTTTGAAGAACAGATACAGAAAGAGATAATAATGAAACCAGCGACTAAGGTACAGGAATCGTTGAAATCCGAGAAAGAGAAGACAGCGAGGACTAGAATTTCCGAGACAGAAGAGAAGTATGTAACTGAATTGCAAGAAATTGAAAAGATGGACGAAGCGAAAGAAGTTATTGGGACGGAAATGAGAGAAGGAAAGGAGGTTGAAAGGAAAGAAATAAGGAAATTGAGTTCCGAAGATGAGAAAGATAAAGATGAGAAAGATATAGATGAGAGTAAAGAAATTCAGAAAGAAGCGAGTGATGCAGCTGTTGTCGATGATACTAAAGACAAATTGAGCAAGGGAAGAGGAGACGATTACGCGAAATCTGGCGAAATCATGACGGAGAAAATTGATAAACCGGAGAAATTCGAAGAAGATATTGAAAAGATTAGCGCACAACCTGCGGAAGCTGCTGAAAAAATTACAAGTAAAGTGAAAGACGAGTCGCAATACAAAAAGAAGACTGTGGAGAAAATAATAGAATCAACAATGCGTATTGAAGAAAGATCAATTGACACGATTAAACAAGTAGACGATACACAGGTAAAGGAAAGAAAGGTTTTGGAAGAAAGTTCTACAGTGGTGATAAAAGAAACGAGTGAAGAAGTGCGCGTACAAGATGTTGTAAAAGATGTAAAGACAAAACAGGAAGACTCACAAGAGATGGCCAAGGATGTAAAGGGAAAGCATAAGGCTGTTCAAGAAATTACGGAAGTGAGTACGCAACAAGAAAGGATAGAGAAAAGAAGTGTAAAAGAAACAACAGCAACGGAAGTGCAAGAAAAGGAAGTAAAGAAATCAGCCGCAGAAACAACTATAAAGAAGGGTGAAGAAGAGGAGAAACTAGAAGAGCAAAAATCTGTTCATGTAATAACTGCAAGAAAAGAAAGTGTAGAAGAAAAAGAAAAGGATGTGCAAGAATCTGTTGTGAAAGTACATGCACAAGAAGAAAGTGTAAGAGAAGATACAATGAAGGAAGAAGAGAGAAAGGAAGAGAAGGAGCAGGAGAAGGAGAAGAAGGAAAAGAAAGAGAAGGAGAAGGACGAGAAGGAGGAGAAGGAAAAGGAGGAGAAAGAGAAGGAGGAGAAGGAGAAGGAGGAGGAGAAGGAGAAGGAGGAGAAGGAGAAGGAGGAGAAGGAAAAGGAGGAGAAGGAGAAAAAGGAGAAGGAAAAAGAGAAGGAGGAAAAGGAGAAGCAGAAGGAGATAGAGAAGCAGAAGGAGATAGAGAAGCAGAAGGAGATAGAAAAGCAGAAGGAGTTAGAGAAGCAGAAGGAAATAGAAAAGCAGAAGGAAATAGAGAAGCAGAAGGAGATAGAGAAGCAGAAGGAGATAGAAAAGCAGAAGGAGATAGAGAAGCAGAAGGAAATAGAGAAGCAGAAGGAGATAGAGAAGCAGAAGGAGATAGAAAAGCAGAAGGAGATAGAGAAACAGAAGGAAATAGAAAAGCAGAAGGAGTTAGAGAAGCAAAAGGAGTTAGAGAAGCAGAAGGAGATACAGAAGCAGAAGGAGTTAGAGAAGCAGAAGGAAATAGAAAAACAGAAGGAAATAGAGAAGCAGAAGGAGATAGAGAAGCAAAAGGAGATAGAGAAGCAGAAGGAGATAGAGAAGCAGAAGGAGATAGAGAAGCAGAAGGAGATAGAAAAGCAGAAGGAAATAGAGAAGCAGATGGAGATAGAGAAGCAGAAGGAGATAGAGAAGCAGAAGGAGTTAGAGAAGCAGAAGGAGTTAGAGAAGCAGAAGGAGATAGAGAAGCAGAAGGAGTTAGAGAAGCAGAGGGAGATAGAGAAGCAGAAGGAGATAGAGAAGCAGAAGGAGATAGAGAAGCAGAAGAAGTTAGAGAAGCAGAAGGAGTTAGAGAAGCAGAAGGAGTTAGAGAAGCAGAAGGAGATGACAAAGCAGAAGAAAAAGGAGAAGGAGAAGGAGAAGGAGAAGGGAGACGTGGAAGAGATGGAGAAAGAGAAAGTAATACAAGTGTCTAAGCAGATAAGCACACAGGAAGTGAGTGCAAAGGAAAGTGTAAGAGAAACAAAGAAGGAAGTAGAAGAATCTGTTCTGGATGTAAGTATACAAAAAGATATTATAAAAGAAGATAAAACATCAAAAGAACAAAAAGAAGTACAAAAAGCTGCTACAAAAATAAGCGCACAAAAGAAAGATATACAGGATGTGGAGGAAAAACAGAAACAAGTGCAAGAGTCTATTACAGAAGTAAGAACGAAAAGTATGGAAGATAAACAAGAAGAATTGCAAACGGCGATAAAATCTAAAAGGAAAGTAGAAGAAGTGGTGCAAAAATCTGTTGCAGAAACAAGTTTACAAAGAGAGCCGCAAGATTTTTCTATTAAATCGAGTGCGCAAGATGGTATTCCTGAAGGAATAAAGGAAGAGCGAACACAGCAAGCTGTTACAAGTGTGATCACAATGCAAGGAACAGGTAAAACGCCGGAGAGAAAAATTGAAGATATTATTAAGGAAAAGTCAGGTGGAAGGCGTATAATAACAGAAGAGACTACTATTATATACAAAGTACAGAAGGATGGAACATTGGTACAAGAACAAGTACTAAAATCTGTTCAAGTAGAGGGAGGAAGTGATGCTTTAGGTGCACTAGCTCAGCTTCCTAAAAGTACGATTGAAACAAAAATATATGAACAGACTATTTCTGAAGGATTGCACGAGATACAGTCTATTGGAGATGTTAAATCTAAAATTACTTTCTCAGCAGACGTGAAAAAGGAAATGGAAAAGTTTTTTGAAAAAGACGGAAAGGGAATTGAAGATACGGATAAGATTAAGGAAGAAGTAACACTGGTTGAACACGAACAATTGGCGCAAATACCTTCGATTTTGGACTCAGTTACGAAAGAAGGTGCAGAAATTCTAGAAGAGAGAAAGGAAGATGCGAAAGAAAAAGGAGTTACATTTGACAAAAAAGCAGTAAGTGAAATAGAAACGAAACCTGTAAAGAAAGAATTTGAATCGCGTATTCCTATTTCCACAGTAAAGATGGAGAAAGATAAAATTCAAAAAGAAACGAAACCTAAAACCGGCATAGAAGTAAAGCAGCTTCCAAGCAAACCCGAAGATAACAAGGAATTTACTGTAGAAGAACAAGATATTTCACCGACAGGTAAAAAGAAAGAATTTGAGTCTCGAATTCCTAAGCGCGTTACAGATGTTAAGCCAACGTCTTTTAGTCAACGTTCTCTAGAACAGGCTATAAGCAGCAGCGAAGGTGTTGAAACAGATCACGACAAGCTGGCCGATGATTTAACGCGTAAATTTGAAAATCTAATGAGGGAAACAACGAGACAGCTAACGATGATAGGTAAAACAGATCAACATTCGATCGATTCATCAAGTCAAAGAGACAGTATAAGCATCAGCGAAGATCAAACTACAGACCAGGAATTATCTCTAAACGAGAAAGAAGGAAGTGTTTGTTTGTCGTCGTCGCAAGTTAAACTACACGACAGGGACATTACTATGAGCCCTAGCAGTATGTCCGAGCAAACAGATTTCGAAGAAACTATCGACGTTGATACAAATGAATTGGAGGGCTTATCAAAACCAACTTTAAGCCTACAATTCGAGAAACAACGATCGGACAAATCGAGCAGCCAAATGGAATTGCAGGGAGACATACATAGCGATGTGAGTTTCCCCCACGAGAAGATTGTATCTGAAATTTCAGGTGCTAGAGTTTTGGAAATTCTTGAACCTGGTATGGACAGTCAGTCTAGAGAAGATTCCGTTGATGTGCCTTCTTTGGAAATGGACGAGTATAAAATATCCGAGCAAACCAGCAGGGGAATACCATCCTTATATGAAAGCGCGGGAACGGATTGGTTCGATAAGGTGGTTCAAGAATTGGATATAACGATCAGTCCTAGTACTGTATCGGAAGACACGAATATAGATTACTCTTTGGTACAAGAGCCTTCTCTTCCCATCACGGCGCAAAAGGAACACGAAGTGGTAAGCACGAAAAGAGCGGATAGTTTTGAAATTGAAAGTCCTCCGTTGGTTTCCCCGAAACAGAAACTGCACGATCTTGAAATTAAACCGGTTAATTGGATGATCGGCGATGAGAAAATTGAAATATCCGAGGTATTGCAACCATCGCAGATCTTCAATCAAGAATTAGAAGCATACGAATCAATGCAGAAAAAGGAACGATTAACTTCGTTAGACGAGTCTACCAATCGTGAACAGGAAGCAGGTATCAAATCGTCCGAAGGTATTAGTATGATAAAATCGACGAAGGAGACAGTTGAAGATCATCGCACTCCGACTCTTGAGAAACCCATGAAATTTACCGTAATTCCTGTTAGCGAACAAGATTTCGAGAGCGAATTGGTAGAGAACAAGTTAGACGTTAGCTGTCAAGAATTAGTTGACACGTTGCAGCGTGAATACGACGCGAAAACGCCTATTAACGATTACGTAGAAACTATGCAACAAGAAATATCTGCCGAGCAAACTGTAGAATCGGAGAAGCGTGCAGAAGAAGTTTCACAAGCAGACGAACGTGTTTCAGAAGAAATTTTACAAGTAGAAGAGCAAGCTTCAGAGGAGATTGTGCAAACAGACGAACACGCTTCAGAAGAACGTACCGATGTAACCACAATTACTACAGATTTACCTACCGAAAAATCTTCCGAGGATGATACTAGAAAAGACACGGTTGAAGATGAAGCACCTTCGTTTACCGAAAAGACGCAGGTGGATGAAGATAAACGTGAAAAAGCTGCTTTGAAATCCGAAATTGAACTTACACTAGAGAAAACGGTGAAATTGTTGAAAGACAGCGATAAACCCGCAGGAGAAGCAGCACAAGAGGTAACAGAAACTGGTAAAACAATCCGTGTGGATGACGTGTTAAAGGAATGGACGGAAGCTTATTTATCGAAAATGAAACCTTTAAGTGATGATTACAAAAGACACATGGAAAAAACTACAGATAAGCACGATAAGCCTGGAAGATCCATAACAGTTCCTTCCGACACTTGTGCCTTTAAAATAAAAAAAGATGACCCCCATAGTGTTGATTTAAGTGCGCGTTACGCTATAACTGTTCTAGATCAGGTAGTTAAAAAAGAAATTGCCGAAGTGAAAGAATCCCTTGAGGCAGCGAAGCAAGACCTGATAGAGGAGTTAAATGAAAATAGTGAAACTGTGATTCAAATAAAAGATTCCCCGTCAGAGTTCCAATTTAAATTACAACCCGAATCCATTCCGAACGATTTACCATTTTTATACTCACCATCGCTTCCTGAACAAACGCACGAACCTCATACAGAAACAATAAAGAGCGATTCTCCGATTGATAAATCAATGCCGTACGAAGCAAAAGATAGTACTGAAAGTAAAGCAGATGTAGAAGAATCAGCTTCTAGTAGTATCGAAGAACCGATAAGTCTGACAAAAGGAGAAACACCTGTGATCAAAACTGAAAAGTCTGATGTTGAGACTGCTCCAATAACCGTCCACGAAGATACGAAAGACGACGAAGAAGAACATCCTAGTCCTGTGCCTGCTAGTAGGTCAGGTTCAGATGTAGACAATAAAGACGAAAGTTCTTCTTTGGCTTTACCGCGCACAGTACTACGAAGACGGCAGAAGCCCGGTAGAAGTTCTAAACAAGTCACTTCTGAAAGCGATGGGGATGTTGGTTCCAGTTCCGGCGAAAGTAGCAATTATCAGTCATGCGATAACGAGATGGGAAGTGGTAGCCGACCTAGTTCTTCCGATATAGAAGCTTTACAATCCTGCGGTATACCTTCAGCTACAACTTCAGAATATGAAACAGCACTGATGTCTATGGAGCATTCTTCCTCTTCGAAACCAACTTCGCTAGAATATCACACCGCTGCCACTACACTGAGCTCGCGTGAATCCATGAAGTCTTTAACTTCCTTTAGTTCAGGTCATCTTGGCAGTATCGATAGTACCAGTGAATTGTCAGAAACATTGGTGCCTTCTGAAACGGACGAAGAGAAAGGTGAGCCAGAGGAGGATCTCAAGGATGTTGCCGACGAAGAAAATACCGAACAGTCAGATTCTTCGGGTAGCGATATACCAATTGACGAACCAATGAATAAGATCGACAGTCACATACCTTGTCGTATGAAACGATCGTCTGAAATGATCTTCCCGCAAGTACTTGATGCTGCTGCACTCGACGATGAAGCCACGCAGGAGCTACCAGCGAAAGATACCAAAGGAGTAGATTTTGCTACGTCAACTTCATCGACCAGCCCCGGTACTCTACAATCTGTAGACATAATGACATCGCGAATATCCGAAGATGGCGTGCAGAGTGTGTGCACTCAAGTGATTTCAACTCAAGCCTTGGCAGAAGGTGATGATTCATCCGTGGTAAAAGCAGAAGATGAAATTTTTGATACGACAACCGTTGATAAGGACGCGGAAGAAGCTACGTTGGACGCGCAAGTAACAGATTCCGACATTTTCGAGCAAAAATATTTCGGAGCCGGTGTTTCGAGTGAAAGCCCCGAAATGTCTGTACAAACGTCGCTAACGTCGTTGATGCAGCAACAGGCAAGTATGTCGACGTCTTCAACATCTGCCGTGTCCATTGATACGGTTATAGAGAGAGGAAAATCGGATCGTCACTCGCCAGATAGCGATTCATTCGAGATGGTTGATAAACCTGATATCATCGATGATTTCGTAGTGATAGAGGAAGTCGGTAAGGAAGCGGAAGAATACGATTCTGAAGGTAAAAGTATACGTATCAGTTCTATACCGCAAGTAACTAGCAAAAATTACGATCGTGATCTCGAAAATTTGATAACCGAGAACAAAGAGGACTCTCAAGTATCGACGAGTCAACCGTCGAAGAATAACGAATTATTCGACTTCGAATCCGAAGAAAGTCCTCCGCAGATTTCAAACGACGACCAGTACTCTCAGTCGTATTCGGACGAGGAGCAATACGAAGGTGATAAGAAGTGGATAGAAATGCAGTGTCGCCCTGACACGCGTGTCTATGACATTGAATACGATCGAGGTCCTCTAGAAGATATAAAAGAAGAGGAGATTACCGACTTCGAGGCTGGTAGCAGTAGATTTGGAAGTTTAGGTAGTCACAAAGAATCGATAGGGAGCGTAGGTAGTATGCGCGGTAGCTTTGGAAGTACTCCCGATTACGATGTTCTAACAGGTAAAAAGTATTTCACTAGGCCATCCGATCATGATAATGTATCCTTGAGCTCGTTACAGGAGTTTGAAAACTTAGAGAGTGCTGTTGCCGCTGAGAATTCGAAAAAATTGCAATGCGGTTCGCATGATTCCGTTAACAATGGTAGTCTTCCGAAAAGGTATGTGATTAGCCGATCCGGTCATGGTGATGATGTCTCACTGTCTTCGTTGAAGGATTTCGAAGGGCTGGAGAGGGCCTGTAGAGATGCGCACTTAATCGAGATGCGTGCTAAAGAGGAGGAAGATTTATTAGAACACGAAAGTCCTGAGAATAAGTATAAATTGGAATCTCTACCGAGGACAAGGGTTGATACGAGTACGGCGGGCTCGTTTAACGCTAGCATGTCCGGATCGGATGATTACGAGAAGAGAATAAAGGAGATCGATGAAATTATACGTATAGCTCAATCGAATTTGGAAAAGTCCGAACGGCAAGATGACACGACGGACGACATTTCGCAAATCGAAATTACGGATGCTGAGAGAACAGGTACTCAGGTGGCTGCGCAATTTATCACGCGACCAGAGGAACCAGAAGCTGCACCTCCTCTCCAGAGGGAGACTAACGTTATGGAAACAAGTACAGATTCTCTTGAGCTGGAAGACAATACAGATAAGAAACATCATCCGTTATGCCGAAGTTCCGATTCATTAGAGATGAAAACCACCTTAGACTTTCCTTCGTTAAGTTCTGATTCGTTGAATAATGTACGAGATGCAAAAGAGACGCAGTCGGATGTAGCTGAACACCCCAGCAATGTCAGGCGTATTTCTTCGGATTCGTTAGATATGCCTTTACTTGAACAACAAGATGCCGAGGGTCATGAAAGACGAAGCAACGAAGACGATCATTCGGATGGTGTTACGTCGGACAATTCTTTAGAGCAAAGGTCAGAAACGACAGAAACTGACGCCAGAAGTGACAAAATGAGGACAACACCGAACACCGGTACATAGGAATATTTTCGTAGGTATGTACTCTGTATGACTTGCATGAAAAAAATTCAAAGAAAAAATAGTAACTTGAAAAGAAATTCATTAAATACTAAAGATTGTCATGCGCACTTGTGTTTGCTGTGATATATTCCTTGAGCTGCAGCGAATATCGATGTGCAATCTATTGTTAGTATCGATATAATTGAAATACGTTGCATTATTTTGCAGCACATTGTGTAATAGGGTCCATGTCCAGTGGAAACGACATATTGCAGACATAAAATTAGTTGAGCGTTTAAGTAGATGTATGTAATTAAAATCTTTGGATATGTGAATTAACAAAAATATAGAAAGACGAGGATTTGAATTTTACTCGGTTTTGTACAAAGTATCTCGATACATATTTACTGATATCATATACGTACATATAACTTTGGATCCTATTTCGGTTGCTTTATGAGTGCATTTTATCGTTTTCATATAATTGACATTTTTGTAATTTATATTATTAGTACACGATGTTGTGTTCACATTCTTACGCAGCCATTTTGTTATGTAATAACATACTCAAGAGAAAGAAAGAAACAAAATAATTCTATAATTTCCTTTAAAGGATAAAATCATTTAAAATAATTTAAAAAATTTTCAATAAATTTTTCACGATAAATATTCTTGTAACCTTTTTTGTAAAGTTCCGTATATACTATGTCTTATGAATTTAAGTGTTAATATGAATTCAGTATTATAGGATATTAACACATTCACCGTTAATTGTACTTTAGTTGACTGTTTGTTCGCGCCAAAGGAATTGCTAATGTTTTATGAATTGTAAGATTCACCGTAATGTCTAAGTAATCGTAAACTTTTAATAAGTACACGTATTAATTTGTTTATTAGTGCACTTTACTTATTACGCTTTTCTATTACTTTTAAATGTAGTTATAGTCATGCAAATATAAATAATTACGTATTGCACGTACCTCACATATCAGTTACCAGTGACTGTTATGGTGAATGTGTTAGAATATGTGATATTATATATCGAAGTTTATATAAAACCAGAATGAGAGTAATATTATTCTAAAATATTAAGTTTATTGCTACTTGTAATGGTATGCTAATTACACACCAGATGTATATGTACATCATAAATTACTTTACAATTTTTTGCACATGCGTGTTATTTTAACAAACTGACATCGTGTAGTGCATATTCGTGTAAACATTAATATTGTTAACAGCAAAAATATTAGAACCTGAATTTTTCTTTAGTTATTTTCTATATAGGATGGGTTATGTAATTGGCATGAGATACTTACATCTCTTATATGATTAACAATATTCAATAATGATTCTTAAAGACGATAAAGGAAAAGACTATATACTTACGTGGTTTTATACTTTTTATAGTTGCACTTTTTTTTTCTTTAAATGGGTTAATATTCTTTCAC